CAATTTAATTCTTAATTCATTTCTCTCTGAAGTATTTGAAGTTTGTATTTACTTAGGTGTATATTTCTTTTAAGATAAATACTGTGTATAAAAGGATTGAGACATAGCCAGTTACACATGTTGAATAGCAAGTTGCACATTGGAGAAGTTATTCACTAGTGAGGGTGGGTATCATTTTGGAGAAAATTATAAGTTTTATATGTAAATTTTGCAACTTTGCACCATCTATACTTGAGGTTTTTCACCCTCTAGATTAAATAAAAATATTTGATCTTAAAAATTTATTAGATATGTAATATTTTAATAATAAATATAAGATATAAAAAATATATTTTATATAAAAGATAATATCAACTTATTTAATATTTTTTTAAATGACAAGTAATCTACTTATATTATTACAATTTTATTCCTAATGTAATTATATTATTTTAAATAAAATTATTAATTTTTAAATTAAATTATGTTGCATCCCTTGACTTCAAGTTACACATGTTGAAGAAGTGAATAAATTTTGTGAGAAATCTGATAGGAGTTATATCATTCTAAAAAGATTTATATTGGCTCATCTTCAATCAATTGGAAGGAATACATACCTATAACTCAAGACGAAGACTATAAGCATTGAGATTCCATTACTTCTTGAGGTAGTGTGGGACTCTATCAAGAATTAATCAAGGAGTTAAACACGATAGAGAGAATTGATTTCATGCTGTAAAAGAAGTTGAACACCTTTACGCATGGAAAGGCGAATTACATCACCGACCCTTTAATTAGTTTTGGTCATACTTTAATAGATAATTTTTGTATCTTTAATCATAAGCCATCTTTCATTGGAGATGGAATATGATGAAAGAGTTTTGTTTTTGGTTGTCTTTGTGTTTGCTCTGTTCTAGTAGTTTTCCTTACTGTATGATTCTTTTCTGAATGAAATGAAGTTCAGTTCTTATCCTCTAGAGAAGAAAAGAAGTTAAACACGACGGAAATTGAGGGTGAAGGTGTTAAAAAAAAAAATTAATGTCAAATTTTATAGTGGAACGTGGCTTGATGTCTTGATCTATGTAACTTTTCTTTGACAAATATACATAGTAAATTCAAATCAATTCAAATAAACTCAACCAAAAATCATGGAATGTGGGTTCAAGGATTTACGATTTTTTTTTAATATAGGGGAAATTATGGGAAAAGACCTAGAGAAAATAATATTTATTGTTGAAGATCTTAAAAATATCAATCATCTAGAAGGACCAAATGCCAAAATATAAAATGAAAAATACTAAATTGTTCCTACTTCCCAATCAAATTTCCTACATTTCTTCTAACCACATCTCTAAAACCACTAAAATTTATTATTAAAGGATCATAAAATTAAAATTAGGATAAACAACAATGTTATTGTAAATAATGATTATTATAACCGTTAATATTAAGTCTGTTAATATTGCCTTGAAAATTTTATAGTTGACAATTGAAGTTCATGGCATTCTGCCCAATTCAATCATCTCAAGACTTCGATGAAAGCAAATAAAAAAAAAAAAGATGCAAATCCTTGATAAAATAATATTGCTATTTATCTGTTGTGATTTTCATCCCTTACTGGCTCCCCCTCTTTGTTTTATTATATATGTGAACCTGAACTTGAATTACTAGCATTATTTTTTTTAGCAAAATTATCAACCATTTGTTTTACTTTCTCATAGAAATAGGTGTCACTCAAGTCTCAAACAAATGTATTTTTATTTATGTTATTCACTACTTCTAGTAACTGTCAAATACGTGAGATGTGGTTAGAGGGAATGTGGGAGATTTGATTAGGAAGCAGGAGCAATTTAGTATTTTAATTTTATATTTTGGTATTAATTTGATCCTTCTAAATAATTACTATTTTTAGAATCCTCTCTAATAAGTATTATTTTCTCCAAGTCCTTTGTTATAATTTTCCCTTTAATATAAATTCAAATCAATTAAAAATTTAAAATAAATTTAAAAAAAGATCATGGGTTATGTGGTTAGGAAGTTTAAAAAATTGTAATAGTATCTCTGAAATAGATTTCCCAGATAACCGTAAATAAAGGGAGGATTCGCGGGTTTAGGAAGTTATAATTGTCTAAACACTAAACTTATAAAATATAAATTAGTTTTTTAAAATCTAAATTATATCAATCTAAGTTCTATAAAATTGCATAATTTAAAATATATATTTATATAAATTATATAAAATCTAAAATGTAAAATATGGAATTTAAAATCTAAATTATCACTGAATTTTGAGTGAATTATGAAGGCAGAAGGTTATTAGAATAAAAGAATAATTAAAAAAATAAACCACGTTGACCTCTCTTTTATTACCGCGACCACCCTTTTATTTTTAAAGCGTACGGCTTTAGTTCAATTCTTAACATTATTAAAAGTATTTTGTTAAAAATTATAAAAAATAATTAACTTTTTATTTGTAATTATGTTTAAGAATTAAAATGATTAATTTACCCTATAATCTAGTTGTCTTTCTTCTCTCACAAATAATTAAGTAAAAAATATTTAAATAAATAATTTTAAAATATTATACTAAAATTATAAAAAAAACGTAAATTATGTTGACTAATTTATTTCTTATTATATTTAATTCTTATTTTATTTAGTCTTTTCACATACGTGTTTGAAATATTATTTTAACCAACTTATATATTTAAATTAAAAAAATACTAAATAAATAATTTTGCATAACTAAAAAATTTAAAATATAACTAAAAGGGTGAAAAAATGGTAGCTTGAACATGATTTTTATATAACTTCTATGTTTAAAAAGGGCATTTTGGTTCATAATATGTGACTTAATGAGTAACTAATAGATGGGTGAATGAAAATAAAATCTTAAAAGAAAAGGAGACACATGTATGTATTTCGTAACTATTGATTTCAGAGAATATTCATATAAGTTTTTTTTTTGTTAAAGTATATTTTTAGTTCTCTAACTTATATAAAATTTTAATTTAATTCTTTAATTTTAAAAAATATCTTTCCAATCCTTTAAACCTAACATTGTTAATTTTAAATAATTTTTTTGTGTCAATTATTGTTATTTGACAAAAATTAAACTTGATATGTCAATATTTGAGAATGCTTTGTCAATATTGAAAAGTTTAATATAAAAATTTATTAGGATAAAACTAATAGTATTAGGATTAATAGATTAAAAAGATACTTTATAAAATTAAGAGATTAAAATGAAACATTGAATAAAGTTAAAAATCTAAATTATGCTCTAGTCATTTTTTAAAAAAAGGGGATGTATCTGTAATTAAGGTAAAACAAAGGAGATGTCAATGTATTTTATTCTAATTTAAATAACGAACCGTATTTAAATCTAAATTTTATAATCAATTCAAATTGATTCTAATTAATTAAAGGAGAGATGATTGTATTAAATTATAAAATTCGATTATATGTATGAATTAAAAATTAATTCCCGAACTGAATTCTGAAATCATGGAGTTAGGCAGATATTAGAGTAAGAGACTAATGTAAATAATTATCTGTAATTAAATTCAAATCTCAACTTTATAATCAATTCAAATTGATTTGAATTGATTAAAAAAATAGGGATAATTGTATTAGATTATAAAATTCAATTATATGTATGAATTAAGCAAATCAAATCCTACACAGATCATGAAGTTAGGAAGTTCCTAGAATGATGGAATACTCTGAGTAACTAACCGCAATTATATTTATGGGATTAGGAAGTCATTAAACCATGGGATAAGGAAGTTGTTAGAATGAAAGAAAAGAAATAAATTATATTCACAAATAAAAAATAATTTTGTAAAAAGAATCCTTGTGGTTTTATAGAATTGAAGCCTTTGAAGAAAATAAAACTTATCATCCATATTTTATAAAAGACGTGTTTGTTATTCTTTTATTATATATATATATATATATATATAAAAATAGAATATTATAATAGGTTCAATTGGGCTATAGAGTTTGGACCTTTGATGTTTTTATGAGGACCGGTTCGGGTCTTTAGTTAATCGGCCCAACCAAAACCGGTCTATGCGTAGTTTACCCTAATAATCAAGTGTAAAAGATTTGGTTTGGAGTTCCATAGATTCGGATCCACTTTTCTGATCTGGAGGAAAAAAAGGGGGTCCCTCCCCTTCAGGAATTAATTAATTATCAAAGAGGGGCCAAATACCAGGTTTAATGATTTGGTGGGATCCACAAACATTGTGGTTGCCGAACTGCTGCTCCTTTCATTAAGACTAAATGGAACTTAACATGATTTGGGGAATGAAATTCAAAGATTAAAGTGTCTGTCTCCCTGTCTGTCAGTCTCTATCTCACACAAGAAAACAAAAAGCAGACCGTAAATATGTAGCCATCACATGGTCCAACTAATCCCTTTTTGACATTATTGACCAATTTTAGCAGATATGCACACATATCTCATTATTACAAAATCCTTGAAAACAAAAACAAAGCAAAAAAGTTGCGTCGATCGGATATATATTGACTTTCTTATATCAAAACCTTGGCTCATAAACACAACAGTACTTGCATTCCACTTTCTTTCATGTTTGACGGTAGTATCTCTAAATATTAGAATTCAAATGGAGAACCGGATGTGACAATGTGGTTGATAGTTTTTATCTTCATCACATTTCAACAATGAATCATATATTGTCGGTTCACAAATATTGAGCTGTAAACAAATGATTTGATCATGAAGAAAATCTTGCTATTGATTCCATAGCTTCCACTCTCGTATTGGCAGCTTCTTTTCTTGGAGGTTCCTTTAAAGTTAGGATCTGTTTGATTTCATGTTAAAAATCACCAAAATCGTTTTTAGTGAAAGCAAAATAATGTTATCAGTAAGTATAATTAGCTCTCAGAAAAATCTGCTCCTGAGATAGTCTCTGCAGAATCTGCAGTTTCAAAGCATTCATAAGATCATGTTCAGACGTATCAACGTTGCGTGTAAACCTTTGACAACCACATCATCATCGACAACAATAATAACAAATTTTATTTCACCAAATAGGATCAACTACATAGATTGCAAGATAGTATTATGCTATATCAATCATGCAAACCATAAAATTACAATAATTTTTCCTCATTACCAGGTTTTCAGACAAGATGTAATAATTGCCCACCTATAAATATATATACATATATGTAAATAACTGAATAATGAAATGAACAAGATGATTTGGTTTTTGCCATAACTAGGCCCCGAAAGCCTCTTTCTTATAAGAACTATGTGTAAATGAAGTCAAATAAACTGAATAGAAATTACAAAAACCAAAGAGAAAATGAAATAGGCTCATTAATTCACTCATGCATTATGCTGCAAATGCCTACTCATCACATCTATAGAACTGCACCCTCAATCGGATAATCTTCGAGTTTCAAAGGGATTGAATACATGGTGCTTTGTAATGATTTTTGAGGGAGATGATGAAGATGATAATCTACAAAAATCTTATTGCTTCCCCTATTTGTGTGGATCCAGATGAGGGTATAGTCCCAAAATGTGCTCAGGCATGAAGTCATGCCTTGTCAAGATCCCAACAATTGGAGGTCTCTGCAAAAAAGTTTAAATACAAATATCACTCCAAACCAATATAGATGCTAAAGCTAGCGTAACATACAATATTATTATTTTCATCTCGACTGAGTGTTTATCGATTTAAACCACTTGATGTATTAAGTTATTCATTTCAGCGATTAAAATAAATTTTGAACAGGTCTTCCATAATCGACTTAACTCCAGTTAAAGTGCCTCTATGACAAGTGATCAAGGTTTTAAAACATTTGAAACCTTTAGTGCAGTGTCAAGTGCATAGGAGAGACTTACTGCAGGTGTCTTTGGCACTACCAACAAGTGCCTGAGGCCAAGCTCCCGGAAAAGGACCGCAGCTTTCGCTAGAGACATCGATTCGACTACTGTATATGGTGAAGTATTGGTAATTGGATGGAGATCAACATACATCTCCACCTCCTCCTCTGAAATGTCCAAATCATCAAGCTTGAGCCCCTTTCCTAACCCTGGCTTTGCAAAATCACGTGCTTTGAAGTTCCTCAAAATCGCAGACCCTGTCATCACCTTCTGCTTTGTGAACTTCTTCCTCTTAAGAAGCACAAGCAGATGCGACCTTAAAACCAACCCACACAACTCAGGAGCAGCCGAGAAAGGAGGTTCGTCAATCACAGGAAAACCATGGTGGCCAGTAATCCTCAAAGCATGGATGATATTCCCCACCTTTTCAACCCCAGAAAAAGTAATCAGAGGGCCAGAAACAACATCACTTGCGACTAAATGCCTCATGTATGGTTCAGCATGTGCTTCCATATAAGGCAGCCCCTTCATTTTAACCATCTGATCATATACACCTTTATTGAAGCTATCAGCCACAGTCTTTGAAACAAGAAGAACCAGCATTACCAGTGGGAGCATTAGGAGGTCATTAGTGAGTTCAAGGAGTATGACACAAATAGAAACAGTCATTCTCATGGTACCACCGAGGAAGGATGCAGCTCCGAGGAGGGCAAACAATCCAACATCGAGTACAGTGAATGGACTTAAAAGACTGCCAGCAAGGCGCCCATAAGAGGCCCCGGCAAGTATGACAGGGATAAATAGTCCAGAGGGAACAGCAATTCCATAAGTGATGATTCCAAGGAAGTATATTGCAACAAAGAAGATTAGAAGTGTAGAAAGATGAAAATTTTTGTCAGAGCCGCCTATAAGGAGGTTGCGGATGGCATCATCATTAGTAGTGAAAAAGAGAGAAGCAAGGTCATTGTAATGGTTAGGAGGACATTGGTAATTCTTGTAGTGGCCGGAGCGACCTACAGTGGGACACTGATCCTCCAAGTTAGGAGGACAAGGGATGCAATTTGATAGCCATGGAAGACCATACGAACAACAAGAGGTCAAAAAGGAGATCGTGACAACAAGTACAATTTTAAATACAGGGCCCCTCCTGCAACCCATAACGCTACCAATCAGCAACCCAACAAAAGAATAAATAAACCAGATTACAAAATAATACAGAAAAAAGCTATGATATCTTGATACAATCAAATAATAAAAGTATATAATCCATACAAATGATCTTCTTTATGGTACCATTCTATACATGCATATGTAATGAAGGAGCCTTCTATTAAGATATGAACTGTATGATTCCTAACACTCTAAGGTATATTTAGATTAAGGAAAATGAAAAAGGGAAGGAAAGTGAAAATTTAACCCAGATATTTTCCTTGTTTTAGAAATATAAAAATTTTCCCTGTAGATGAAATTTTAGAAAAGGAGGGAAAAACCGATTATGTTTAGAAAATGTTGGAATAAAAATTTCCCTTGCCCTCCCCTCTCCTCCCCTTACAAACATGCAGTAAATGATTTCACAATGCATGCAGCTGGGCTGGTATTCATAGTTTACTGGGCATTGACAAGGCAAATCTACCTTGAACTCTCAACATTGAGCACCCTACCGGAACGGATTTCAATGAGAATACTGTCAACTTGAATTACCTCAGATAACAACAATAATATAGTATTTACACTTTAAGATCAACTTCTTCCTTTATCCAATGTTATTATAGATATATACATGAAATTAATCAGCCCTTGACATGGTGTCAGGACTTCAATGTAGAAAGGGCTTTTGATTGCATACTCATTGATGATGCTATAAGTGCGAAGGACCTTGTCCACAAGATAATTGTAAAGGCTTCCAAAAATGCCTCCAACGATTCCCAGAAATACAACTGCCAGAAGGTCAAGAGTGCTGTACGCAGGCTTCGCTTCATTAACATCAAACATTATCAACCCGCCTTCCCCAAAAAGACCACAGTTTCCACCCCGACACAAGTCCATGAAACTTCTTAGCACTACTGCTACTATTGCCGTTGTAAAGAAAGTACGCCACAGAAGGGCACTCCTCCACCTTTAAAAAAAAAAAAATCAAATCAAATAAGTAAACTTGATCACAAGAAAAAAAGAATTAAGACGTTAACATTTCTGCATTGCTTTCAGCAACAGCTGTTAACGTAAGTTATCCTATTGTCAATTATTTTGCATGGAAAATCTATAATGCAAATTATATGCCTAGATTCTTATTGATGGAGGCGGAGATAACCATGAAGCTGCTTCTTCAAGTGCAAAAAGGACACCACCAACTGGAGCTCGGAAGGCAGCAGCAACCCCTGCAGCTGCACCACATGTGATCAAATCCCTTCGATCTCGATCATTTTTAAAGAACCTCAGCCATTTCCATGTCAGTCGATACTTTTGAGAACCACCTTGTCCGAGTAAATTGGCTATGCAAGCACCAGTATGTACCATAGGTCCTTCCTTACCAACAACAAACCCCGCAGAAACACCAAAAATTGAACCAAAGATCTGCAGATTTTCAAACCATGTCTATGTCAATAAAAACCAACTATTTTTCAGTAGCCACTCCACACCCTTTCCCTTACCATTCGTTGGAAGAAGAAGTACTCAAAATCCTAACAAAAAGATTTACATATTAATGAGATGACCCAGCCCTAAACCTCAATATTCCCCAATGCTAGAAAAATTTTACAGCTGTAGTTTCTGGTTTTTAAAGTGGATGAGGCATTTGCAATTGACAAATTTGAAAAGGAAGAATTACATTCTCCCCTGAAACATTCCAAAATCAATCATAAACCTTCATTCAATAGCTTAAACTTTTGTGTGAAAATGGTCCTTTACACGTTGATTAGGAAAGAAAAGAGAGTCAGATCTAGCATCTTGATAAGAAGTAACGAAGCTGCAAATCATCATGAACAGAACACATGAGATTCACATACATGCAATTTCATATCGATAGTTCACCAACTAACCTTTACAAAGAGGGTACTTGGAGCCAATATAGAATGGGCATCTATACCATTGAGGTAGGCCTTCACCTCAGGTATGCCAGATCCAGCTGCTGCAGGGGCAATGTAAGCACAGAGGATTGCGGCAGCAACAGCCAAAACCATGTTACAACCGGCAAATGCTGCAAAGGCCTGATAATACCTGCACTGGAGTAAAGATAATGTTGTAGTTACTCCAAAATATGAAGGTTAATTATATCTGACTATATTGCATGCAAAAGCCATGCATGCGTACATGCTTTTAGGTTTTGTAGGGTATCAGAACAAAACTCAAAATATCAACACACAGACCAAAAAAAAAAGGAAAAAGATTAAAGGACAACAAATATCAAATTGTTTGTCGTTTCTTGACCTTCATTTTTCATTTTCATTCATAATCATACACTGTTATGTTAAATTTTGCAGGATTGATCTGCTTAATATTTATTTATTCACACCACGGCAGAGTAAGAATGTAAAGAACGCACAAAATTTATCCTCCTTTTTATCAATGAATATGAATAGATGCTTCAAACTGAACACAAATGGTGAATTTGAAATCTAAAGCTGGGCTAAATTGAGGATCCTTGAAAGACAACTATATGGTTCAACTTTATAATACACTGTATTTTCCCAAGGAAAAATAACAAGTACACTTGAAACCGAGGAAAAGGGAAAAATCAGAAAAAATAAACAAAGACTGCATATGATTTATAAGAATTAGGCTTACTTTTCTTTGAGCATGAGATTGTTAGTGAGTAGAAGCTTGAAACCAGCAATGTTCTCAACAGCAAGGTTATTGAAAAATCCGACAAGCCCTGTACTTAAACCAATTAGAAGTGCAAGAGTCCATTTAAGAACAATATATTGGCATATTTCGACTTTCGTTCTAGACCTCCAATCTTGTTTAAATAGATAATTCTCAATCATCCTGCAAGCAAAGAACAAAAGTGAAGCAGAGTTATGTAATGATCCATGAAACATGATTCAAAATAAAATCAATCAGGCTGGTGCTGTTTTAGCTTAAATAATGAAGAAAATCACTCCGAGAATGCAAAAAGCTTTCTCTGACAAACAAAAAGATATATGATCTCGAACTGAAGAACCCCAAAAAAAGGAAGCACAGATTGACCACTTTTTGACTCATTTTCCATAGAAACATAAAAAAAAAAAAATGGAACTCCATAACAGATAATTTGAACGATGATGAAATCAAACTAAAAGCTCGACGGAAAACCCAAATGGAACCTTTTTTTTTTTGGAAATTCAGAGCAAGAGGGGGAAGGAAGCTCAACTTCCCACTTTTTGACTCATTTTTCAATGGAAAATTCCAAAACCCACCTCCACCATGAGAGATGGCTTGAAGGGCAATGAAATCGTAGTGATCACTTGACAGAGAACCCAAATGAAATTTTGCATGGAAATTCAGAAAAAGAGGAGGAAAGGAAGAAGGAAGAATACTCGTAATCAAGACTTTCAATAGGGCAAACATTTGCTCCAACAATGGCGAGCTGCGAGGTGTTGTTCATCCTATTGTTCTTGAGAAGCAAAGGCTCTCTGAGAAAGCTTTCTTTGACGACGACGTCGTCTGAGGATGGCTCTGATGTATCGTCTTCCCTGTCTTGTTGTTTGCCATAATCATTCGCCATGATCATCGCCACCCCACCAGACTCTATCTCCAGGTCCCTCTCTACTCCATTCCCATCCATTCTTTTTTCCCCCTCTCTCTTTGAGGATTCTTCTTCGTTCTTCGTTTCCTTCAAATTAACGCCTTTTGCGCTCCAGAACCCTCCAAAACAATCATCAACTTCACGCTTTATTCCCTCTTCCTTTTTGCCTCTCAAATCTCTCTCTCTCTCTCTCTCTCTCTCTCTCTAGAGAACCTCGAAGAATCTTCTTCACTTGCTACACCATTGTTTAACGATTTGTCAAGCCGCTCTCTCTGTCACGCTTAAAAATAATCCTGTTATTTTCCCCCGGTTGAAGCGAGAAGCTGGTATTGAAGATTTGAGGATCGTCTCCAAACTGCAAAAACAGGCTATTGGCATAACAGAATGAGGATGCGGAAAAATAATAATTAAATGTTTTTTTGACCGAAATATTTATATATATTAAAATTAAGGAATCTTCTTTTTTCGTCAGAAATTAAACGAATGTTCGTTTCAAGTTTTGTAAAATTTATATAATTTTAAAACATTTAAATACTTTCCTGAAGTGTTTTCAGGGTTCGTCAACAATTACATGCATGGCGCAAAGGACACATTTCTTTCATTTTTAAGAGATATTACTACATTTGAAAAGAGAAAGACGATAATGTGATTTCAAAATATTTATAGAATTTTTTTAATTGAAATGTAACGTAAATTTGAATGAACTATTATATACTCTATCCTATTTATTATTTATTCTATATGATTATTTTGATATTTGGTCTTTAATATAAGTTATTCTTTCTTATTGTATACAAATTTTTTTATATAATCTAAATATTTTAAAAAGAAGTGTAACATTTTCATTGTCAAAAACTCTTTTCATTATCAATTATTTTTTATTTAAATTTAAAAATAAAAATTTGTTTAATTTTAAATTAATTTTATACATTAACTAACATGCCTTACTTTTAGTAAATTAATTAAAAATGATTTGTATATAATATTGAACGAAATGCTCCCTACATTTAAAAATATAAGGTATTTTTAATCAAATCTCACTCTTAATAAAGTAGTTGTCTACTTTCAAACTAACCCTATTTTTTTATATTTACTCCTATTAAACATCTTATAATAAATATAAAGTCACAATCGATAGAGATATTTTTTAAAAAAATAATGATTAAATCTTAAAAGATTAAAAATATTTTATATTTTTAATATTTAATTATTTAATTATTTAAAAAATATTTTATATTTTTAAATAAAAAAATGTATAACAAGGTAAAATTTGACTTAATCCAATCCAATGGTTTCACGAGCCATGAGCTTGTGAGCCCCGTGCACGAGCCAAATTTTGTTGGATACAGTTGACATTTTCACGTGCCAAGGATGATTTTGCATTTTTGTAGCCTGTCAGTCTCACGCGGAGAGAGTGAGATGATGACGTGGCTCAACAGTCTTTTATTATTATTATTATTATTATTATTATTATATTATTATTATTGTTATTATTTTTTTTTGTCATAGAAATTTTTTTATTTGTTTGTTTTTCGGCCATCGGTTGGTTTAACGTTGTCCTCAACTAAACTAAAAAACATTAATAAGAAAAGTTTGGCCTGCCCACCATGCTTGAGACAAATCAGATTCCCACTAAAAAACATTAATTTAATTAGTCAAATTATTAATAATATATAGTTGATTGTCCTGCGCTATATAATAAATAAGTAAATAAATAATAATTATTTCTTTCATTTAAAAATATAAGGCATTTTTTTAAAGTTGAGTGTTCAAAAATATAAGGTATTTTTAGTTTTTTAAAATAAAATTATTGCTCTTTTTTTAAAAGTATCCTTATTAAATAAATTACTTTATATTTTATTTAGATTTAAACACCCTATTAAATAAGATAAATATAAAAAGATATGATTAATTTAAAAATAAATAATTACTTTATTAAGGGTAAGATTCAATTAAAAATATCTTATATCTTTTAAATGAAGGGAATATTTTTTTAAGAGTTCGTCATTATCCAGCCGGTGATAAAATAATTGTTAGTTAAGATAGATCTTGCTTTTGGATTTCGTTTTGTGCTATTTTCATGTTAGTTCCATGTCATCAACCTTGAGAAAGTTTGAATATTAAAATGATTACTTTAATTGATAAATTAAGGATCAAGGAACTTCAAGCAAAGAGACGGGTCAAGGGACCGTTAAGATTAACATGCGAGTATATTAATAAAAGATAGTGAAAAAATTTAATATCCATTAGGAACCCTGTACAGCAATACATGTTAAAGTAATATTTTCACTTGTTAATTTGTTAATGTTTATTTGTGAAAATTTTTGTCAGATATTTAATTCTTTCAAGAGTCTTTCATTGATATTTTTCCTATTAGTATAAAATAAAAAAATTATTAATAATAAATTATATTTGTCTTATTTCTCTAGTAATGCAGCTTACCTAAAATTAATTAAAGTTTGAAATACCTTGTATTATATAGATATGAAATTCTTCATATATAATATAATTATCCTTCTTACTGTTGAAAATGCATGAACTTTCTGTTAAGCATGTATAAAATTATTTTGTGTATTGTAAACATTGTGTCGTGTATTGTCTGTCTAGTCATTTTTGTTGAAACTTGGTTAGTGAAATATAAAAAATGCATGACTTTTTCGTTAAACATACGTGTACATCATCTTATGTATAGTGAATATTGTGTCGTGTATGGTTTGACTCACTTGTCATTGTGTTGAGCCTAAGCTAATAAAATATTCAAAATGCATAGACTTTCTTTTGAACATACGTGAACATCGTCTTGTGTGTAGGGAATGTTGTGTTATGCATGGTTTGCCTAACTTGTCATTTTTGTTAGAGTTTTGGCTAGTGAAATATTCAAAATGCATATACTTTTTATTAAGTATACATGAATATCATCTTGTGCATAATAAATGTTGTATCGTGTATTTTTCATTGCTTCAAGGGTTTGTGCAAGTTCTAAATTCAAATCAAACAAAGGGTAAAAAATTCTCTTAAGAATTAATTAAACCTAGATATATGTGAAAGTTTTAAACTAAGAAAAGGTGATCAAGTCGTGTTCAATGTGTGGGCGGTGGCGGTGGTCACACCGGCCTAATAATTGGTTAGGTATTTACATTTTATATATTACGTTTTTTGATCAATTTTATGCCTTAGGTTACTTAATTTTAAAAATTTATTTAGCAAATTAGCTATGAATATAAATTTTTTACGGTTTAGGGCTCAAGGTGTAGAAATTTTAATACTTGGATTGTAATCTTAATAGAAACACTGATTATATTATTTTTTATTGTTGGCCAGTTATTTTGTTTTATTCTATGTATCTTTATGAAGCAACACCCTATTAAAAAAATATCATAAATATTGGATAATTATTTTAAATAACTGTCAATTATGTGAAAATAAATACTTGATGATTATCTAAAAATAACTTTCAAGTATTAGCTTATAGATCTGCCTAAAAAGCAAATATGAAAGCATATACTTAATGATTATTTGCAAATAACTTCAAGTAAAACCTCAAATATTTGATGGTTTTTAACTGTGAAGTAAGGGTGGCTATAATATACTCCCTCCATTAAAAAATATAAAGTATTTTTAACCGAATCTTACCCTTAATAAGGTAGTTATCTACTTTCAAATTAATCTTATCTTTCTATATTTATTTCTATTAAACACCCTACAATAAATATAAAGTCATTATCAATAGGGGTATTTTAAAAAAAGCACTAATTACATATCAAAAAACTAAAAATATCTTATATTTTTAAATATCCAACTCCTTAAAAAATATTTTATATTTTTTAATGAAGAGAGTATGTCGTACTCTTACTTAACGACTAAAAATTATTAAGTATTAACAAAAATAACTGTTTAAGTATTGGAGCATGTTGTATTAGTGAAGGTGAAAATCTTAGATTATGATGCACAAAAGGCTAAAGAAATAAATCTACTGTAATATTTATATTAGGGTCATTATGAGGAGAATATGAAATTACTGTATATGCCTGCAATGACTTTTTTTTAGCACTCATAAGTTTTTTTTAAAAAAAAAAACAGTGAGATTATAGAAATGATGACAAAATACTTTTAATAATTGCATATGATGTGGAATATATCATGACTTTATACACTATTATTGTCATGTGCCTTGAGGCAAATCATTCACAGCACTTGAAATATAAGCTAAATTGCACTTCATCTATTTGAAAGTTAAGGGTGATTTCCTTTTTTGTTTTTTTATTGTCCAATTGTAACGGTGAACCTATTGTTAAAATCATCAATATTTCAAACCATGTTTAATACATGAAAAAATATATATTTCAAACTAATATGTTATTTTATTTTAAAAGTGCGTATTTGGTCATCTAATTTTATATAATATTTTAACATGACCTTTTAATTTTATAAAATATTTTTTAATTATAGATAATGATTAATTTTAATCTTGTTAGTTTTAAATAATAATTTTTTGTGCCAATTACTATTATTAAAAAAATTAAATTTAAAAATATCAACATTTAAAATTATTTTGTCAATATTTAAAAATTTAATGGTAACACCTTTTTAATAAAGCTGACCATTTTAAGATTAAAAAAATTAAAAAGGCCCTTTATAAATTAAAATAAAATTTTGTATAAAACTATAACTAATGGTGCATGTCTAAAGTTATTTTAAAATATAAAGATCAATGCATGGGAACAAATGTATGATAGTCGCTTATATATCATTTTCTATTAATGAAACAATTAATTAGCTATTGACCCAACGTAATCCTCATGTTTATCCAAAAATAATGTATTAATTAATTAAAAAATTACTCATACAAATCTAAAATTTATAAAAATATTATTGTCAAATTATAAATATTACGTCATCTAAATGCAACTGAAAATTTAAGAGATTTAGGTTTGATTTGACCTAAAATATATTATGAAATGACAGACCAATATGTGCGTTTAGTTAAGCATAAATAATATTAGTTCGTGACTTTAAAGTTGAAGCATAATCTTAATTGCAAGTCAAGTCTTGTGCCTTGGCTTGTACTCATCAAATAATTCCATAATCAATACTGCTCCGAAAAAATCATTCGTTCTCTAATAATGGTTTCGTAGAAAAATTTCCTATTTACCTTCTTAACATACAGATCAAAGGAGCTTGTAGAGAAAATTGCATCAGACCCCACCTGATTTTAACGTGAAAGACTTTATGTACATGACTCCATCAATAACTTTAGACATACTTATCTACAAATATATATATATATATATATATATATAAAATGATACTGTATTTATTATGTATTAAAAATAAAAATGCAGCATCATTATAAATTCTTGCATAGAATTAGCTATAA